TTCAACTCTTTTTCCATTAAGATAACAATATCCAACCATAGATGTTGCTTCGGTGCACCCCATCTCTGCAGATTTTTGATAATATATGAATACCTTATGTTCACCCTTTCAACTCCAATTCCATCAAGATAACATTTTCCAATCATATATGCTCCATTAGCGTCCCCTAACTCTGCAGATTTTGATAACATATGAATGCCTTATATTCACCTTTTTCAATTCCAATTCTATAAATATAACAATACCCAACATTATATGTTCCATCAACGTTTCCCATTTCTGTAGATTTTTGATAATATAGAATGCTTTATGTTCATCCTCCTCAACTCCAATTTCATTATAATAACAATACCAACCGTATACTTCTATCAGCGTCCCCCAATTCTGCAGACTTTTGATATTATATGAATGTTTTATTATCATCCTTTTCAACTCCTTTTCCATTAAGACAACAATGTCTAACCATATATGTTGCTTCAGGCACTCCCCATTTCTGCAGATTTTTGATAATATATGAATGCCTTATGTTCATCCTTTTCAACTCCAATTCCAGTATAATAACAACGTCCAACCATATATATTCCATCAGCGTCTCCAACTCTGCAGATTTTTGATAATATATGAATGCCTTATGTTCATCCTTTTCAACTCCAATTCCAGTATAATAACAACGTCCAACCATATATATTCCATCAGCGTCTCCAACTCTGCAGATTTTTGTTATATATATTCACCCTTTTCAATTCCAATTCCATAAAGATAACAATATCCAACCGTATATGTTGCTTCGACGCACCCCACCTCTGCAGATTTTTAATAATATATGAATGCCTTACGTTCGTTCTTTTCAACTCCAATTCCATCAAGATAACATTTTCTAATCATATATGTTCCATTAGCTCTGCAGATTTTTGATAATATATGAATGCCTTATGTTTATCCAAGTTCATAACAATAACAATATCCAACATTATATTTTCACATCAACGTTTCCCATTTCCGCAGATTTCTGATAATATATGAATGCTTTATGTTCATCCTATTCAGCTCCAATTTCATTATAATAACAATGTCCAACCATATATGTTCCATAAACGTTCCCCATCTTTGCAAATTTTTGATAATATATGAATGCCTTATTTTCATTCTTTTCAAATTTAATCCCTTCGCCATAGCAATATCCAACGTTGTTAATTGCAATTGCATATCCCATGTCTGCAGATTTTTTTATAGTACTCAAAGCCTTGTGTTCGTCTTTTTCGACTCCAATGCCATAATGATATTTCTTTCCAAACTCACGTATTTCAGCATCTGTCTGACTCATGTTCAGTAATCTATAGGGTCAAATAAAATTTTTTTTCGTCGTTATTTATAGCATACATTTACGACAATCTTTTACAAAAATAGTTTATTTTTAATTTTAGAAGCAAAATTTTGTGACCCACGATCATTTTCTATATCATGACGCAAATCAAAAATCGATTATAAATATAATATCGTTATCACTATCATTATATCCTAGAAATCGGTAATCGCAAACAAATAGAAATTATGTAAACTGCATCTACATCCAGTTCAAAAGGAGCAATAAATGAAAAAATTACTTCAAAATCTCAAACAATAGTTTGCATTGAATTATTCACAACATAGTAATGATTAATGTAGCGTTATCATATTAAGTTATTAATTTGCCCATGTAATATTACAGTAATCTTTACCGGGTGACGAAAGTGACCATGTGTGTAATATTTAGTAAAATTTTGGCCTTTACATGTAAAAACTATCTGTGTAAATATTTATTCCTGCATCTTCACATCATAGATACGTGCAATACTTTATCTATTAATGTATACGATCACTAATTTATATGAAACTAGTAGCACTTTGCTGAGTATATTATTAACAACACTTTTAATGCTAACGACGATAATGTATTTAGTGGAATATTCATTATCCGCGTTACAGTTAGATTCATGTATCGCCACTAATAATGACAATATTGTTATGAGAATATTTACGAAAAACAATCACAGCCCATTCATGAGCCACGCATACTTAAATACAGCAGAATCAGAATAAGCCACGCTCATTTCTAAACCTTTTATGAAAATTAACTTTCGTGTAATCTTATGCATGCTAAACCACTAAAGTTTTTATAAATGGATGAAAGACAATCACGCAATGTGGGTCGAGCTAATCGCCCTGCATCTGATGCATTTAAGGAAGAAGATAACATAATAGCAGAACTCGTTACACCAGAAAATCCGGATGAAAATAATAATAGCACGAAATACCTTTGCATCGTAGTATGTGGACTGAGTTTAATCATAATAATAATAATAAGTTTCATAATTTTTTATTCTTTTACTGAGTTGGATATTGAATATGATACTTCCAAGATTCCTTTTCAATATCAACTAAGTTTGAGATATTTATATGCAGTTAATAATCGCTATGACTATGTTATTTCAAGTCTTCCTGATCGTGATTATACCCAAAAATCCAATCTTACTGCTCGCGATGTTGATCAAAATTCAAACAATAGCTCCACGACAAAATCAAATAGAACTAAGCAAATTGAACTTGGACTCTTAATTTCACGATCAACGAGAATCTTGACACCTGGTTATTATGAAGCTCAAGAAAATAGATACTCACAAAATGGTACAATATACCGTGTGATAACTGCCACAGCAAGTTACACAAGTTTGTTTTACGCCGTCTTGTACCCACCAATCACTATTGAATTTCTTACTAATCCAAATGAAACCACATATAAAGAAACAAGTTATCAAGACTTGATTTATTGCAAATATCAATTCACGTGGACATCTATCTTAGACGGTTATGTAAATCGGAAATGTAAGGACGATTCAAAGTTTCTAGCGATATCTTATGTTAATGGATCAAGCTTGTTTGGATTCACGTTTTATAGCTTGGATGAAATGAATATTTACGCACATACTACAGCTCCAGATATAGCTGATCAAGATTTCTTCTTTAAAAGGTATTATTATATTTGAAATGATTTAATGGCTTAAATTTAGTTAATTTAATCTAATTAATTTGTTTATTAACGTTAAATAAGAAATGTATATATAGATAAAAACGCTCCATTTCCAACACTCATACCCGCTTTTTATACTGCTTATTATGACAATATAGATAATATTTCATATACTACTATGTATTTTTTGTAAGATTATTTTAAATTTTGGTTAACCTTTTCTGGTGGTTTTAAATATCACCTACAATCATTCAAGTGCTACATTATTCACTTTGAGACTTTAAAACAATCAATAGAGTAGTTACATTCACTGGAGTTGAAGGTTTGGAAACATATTATATTATTGCATATATAGAAAAAAAATAAAATTTATTAAGGGCACCTATTTTGCTATAGGTCACCATGTGTTTAGAAATCTCATCTACATTAATGTTTTTCAAATTACAATTTAACCTCTCTACATCACACTATTGGGGTCATAGTAGCTTTTTTTAAAAATGTGCTTATAGAGTCATACATATTCAGAGATTTTTTCCCTATATGTTATAGTAGTTGGTTTTATAATAGATGTGCTTATAAAGAGAATTTTTATATGATGTACTTATATGGGAGGTGATTATAGGAAGATTCGACTGTACTATTATTAGCAAATTTTATGCTTCACACATCACGGGAAATCTGAGAATCAGGAATTTATTACGTAAGATGCAAGCCTGTGGTTGGCTAGCCAATTGTATTCTGTATATTATGTAAAAGTTCTAATATTGATGTTTTTTAATTTTTATTTAAGATTTCTCAATAATGGCCTAATCAATTTCGATGCTCAAGATTATTTTCGAATTTCATTAGCCTGCAGAATTTAAAAATAGCTTCGAATATCGAAAACGAACAAACATTATCAAGATAAACTCACTCGAAGTTTGAGAAAATTTAGGTAAAAAAAGTTAAAATTTTGGTGTTTCTTAATCAGGAAATTACAAGATTTAATATATAAATGGATATAACGAGGAATCTTTAGAAATGTAAATTTTTTTCTAAATACAAATGAATTTAAAGATTTTATGTAACAGAACAGATTTTTGTAATTGATCATTACCGATTACAATAATTTGAAAAGCGCTAGAAAAGGACTTCTACTTTTTTTATTAAAATCGTAGGTTAATATCTATACGTGTTATAAAGAAACAAATGATAAAACCTAATTCTACAATTTAGGTTTATCAAAATTCAAATCAATACAAATTGGGCCATGTTAACCCAATTTGAAAACAAGTGATTAATTTGATCCGGCCTTGGTTACTAAATCTAGCTTACATTAGCTCAGATTCTTGTTGATTTGGTTTACTTGAATAAAATTTGACTCTCTTGATCCAAATTCTGTCCCACTTAAACTCGATTTGGAATGCATTTGTACCATATAACTACAACAAAAGAGCTACGTATATATTTGTTAATCAGATTTTATTTAAGTGGTTGTTTCATTATTGATTTGCATGAAAAATTCTGTCAGTTCCATTACACGACGAGTACTAGTGAAAAATCTGGTAGTAGAAAATTAAAAGAAGAAATATCTGGACAACCTCAGCATTTAGGTGCATTTTCTAATTATAATGTTTATATAATTCGAAATTGCCC